AAAGTTTTTTATAATTCAGCGTTTGGTTACAGTTTCGTTTTAATATCCCGTATTTCACCTGCAATTTTCGTTGTAAACAGTTTCGATAACAATTTTGTTAACGGTTATCAATATTTAGTTACTCGTTTTGGTACTATTAAGTATTATTTCTCAAAGTTTAGTTATCAATTTCGGGGGCGCATGTTTCGATTCAATTTAGTTTAGATCCTTACATGAAGAACGATACCCGGTTTGGGATGAACATGTATTATAATAAATTTATAATGGGGTATTTTTACGGAACCATTACAGTATGTTGTATTATTATAATTTTCTGTAATTACCACTTCAATAAACGTTATTATTATTATAAAAAAATATTTATTTTTCCCAAATTACAAGCCTATTAAAATGATATTTATAATAATTATTATCTTTTTTGTAGATTGTCCACAAAACCGGCGAAGAAGACACATACGAATCCCTCCTGAAAAGGTGCATACGCACGTCCTTATACCTACAGGAAACATGCGTAAAAAAAGACGACGTCGTATGTCTTATAGGCAGTGATGTAATGTATCGAGATACATGTATCTAGATACTGGATCTAGATACATTTTATGTACCTAGATACGTACTGAGATACTTAAAAAAATCAGGATCTACTTTAGTATCTAGATCCTTTTGAAAGTATCTAGATCCTTAGATACAAGATACATTTTATTTTACCCAACCTGATTGCAACTCCACACCGTGTGGACCACACGGAAAATGAACATCCAATGGATATATCCAATAACGGTATATATCCTGGATATAGTATATATAATCTATGGATATCCAGGATATATACCTACATTGGATATTCTTGATATCTCCCGTAAGAGATGAACAATACAAATAATAAAAATATATTTTATTTCTTTTTCCCTTCAACCCACTTTGGAGTGCGAAGTGCATAAAGTAACTCTTAGGCACTAGTGAGTAAAGTTAAACAAAAGCGCTGTAGGTTACCTATAGTTGGCTTTGAAGGAATTTTTCTTCGTTCTGATAATTTTGAATTTGTACTACAAATTTTGTAGTAAGCTTTCATATGGCGCGTAAATATAAAATTTTCCGTTTTTCATGGATATTTCGTCAATTTTATCAAAACAGTTTTATTTTATAGTTAACACGCTTGTATTTTGTCATTTAATTTTTAAGTTTTTTTAACATAGTATCTGGAAGTAACTTAAATACTTTTTGAATGTATCTGTATCTGTACCCAGATACTTTTAGGAAAATGTATCGGTATCTGTACCCAGATACATTTACCAGAGAGTATCTGTATCGGTACCTAGATACTGAAAAAAATGTATCGGTTACATCACTGCTTATAGGACCAGTGCATAAAAACAGCTGCGTACCTTTCATATCCAGCCATTTTATAGGCGCAATACCAACATGCATTTCAAGTGATCACGTCACAGAAGACAAGAAAAATCTAATTAAAACCGTCGAACCAAAAATTGTCTTCACCGTGCCTGAATATGTGGAGATTTTGCAAAATATTCGTATGGACTTAAACATAGAGTTTACAATTGTGTGCTTTGGAAAGCACAAAGACGTAATCAACTTTGAAGAAATAATTAAACCACACAAAAAAGAAGACACTTTCAAACCCATAGAAATCGAGAATCTAAAAGACACAGCTATAATGTACTTTAGTAGCGGTACCACCGGAATTCCCAAAGCCATTTGTATAAATCATGTTTCCATGTTGGTGAACCTGTTGAAGGATTGGACTCCAGAAAATCCGGATTACGAGGTTATGAAACATAATGCGAGTTGCGTGGCAAAGAATTTCACCAGCATCGAGTACTTGCAGCTATTTTGGGTTTCCGCCGGAAGTTGTTTGGCGACGTCCATTGCAATTGGTTCCACCAGGGTTCTTTGCGAGAAGTTTTTGCTTGCGGAATTTTGGCAGATGGTTGCTAAATATAAGGTAAGTCGATGGTTTTTAAATGGTTTTATGATCTCGGCTCTTGGGTTTTTTCATAATTCCACCGATAAAAAGGCAGCAGCGCTTTTTTGCAATTTCGTTTGTACACCGAAAAAACTAATGTAGTTGAGTTAACGTTTGATTAAATGTTATTTTTGAAAATGTTCTTTAATCAAAAAACCTATTGTATTAATTAATCTATATTTTGGTGTCAAAGCAATAGTCAGAGTTTGTCAAAGTTTATTTGTTCATTTGACAGTTAAAATATTGATTTAACATAAACTAATTTTTTGAATTAAAATGTTTATCCTATTTTGATTTAATAGCTGGAATTGGTTGAATCAAATACTGAAATTTTTAGGATTACCTAAAAAACTATAAAATTAACGTTTAGTTGCTCTTTAAATCCAAAACAATGTTACTTTAAAATTTGTTAATTTTGCCGTGTAGGGCGCTTCGAACACCCACGCCATGTCATTAAACGGTGTTGATCATGTGATGTACTAACATCTCGCCTCAGTTGGCTTACGATAGGAGTATATAAGCTCAGGTAGCCGTTTGTTTTGGGTGTGTTTCACAGTGGAACTTTCACTACACCAAATTGCCCGACACTGATAAGACCCCCAATATAGGTCGAATCAGCTGTCTGTCGGTAGGTATTTAAAGTAGGTGGAACGCACTCAAAACAAAAACTCTTGCAAGGGAAGGTTCAATTCTTTATCTTTATATTAATTCCATAATTTTGTTTTGAATACCAACCTTTAAAGAATGGTACCTTTACATTTTCAGAATGTTAACCCAACATTAGCGCAAATTATTTTAATTTAACATTTTATTGGTGTTAAGTGAATATACTAAAAAGGTTACCTGGACATTTCAAGAATGTTTAATTAACCAGATTAGCATATTAGAACAAAAATTCTCATTTTGTTCATTTGACTAATATTTGTTGTTCAATTAAAACATACAATTTGACATTTTTAGATGGTTAAGTAAACATGCAAAAACCATTGCTTGTATTTAAAGTGCATAAAGAGTTGAATTAATATTTTTGTTGTTGTTTCAACAGCTTATTTTTTTCAGTGTAGAACCTTTATAGGTCATAACGTTAAATTTCTGAAGTTCCGACTAAAATGAATGGTTTGTTCCCTCATGATTGAAAAATGTAACTGGTTTAGATCATTCATTGATAAACTTTAAAGAGACATTTTTCTAACAATTTATAAAAAAGTTCATTTGTCCCTGTATTCAATTCTCAATATCGTCTACCAAACTTTTATATCCTATTTGTCCCACGTGCGATTCACTAATCAGTTTAATATGTTTTGCGGGTTGTGTATGATTATAAGGAACGTATAGCTGGCCCCATCGGCAACGCCTTACACTGATCCCACAGGGTTATTATATACCCTTTCAGTTCTCCTACGAATCCCGCAACTGCAAAGCATTACCTGTGTTTGGTGGATCCGAATTTTTACGCCGGCTGGTAGCTCTCCCCTAGAAGGTCGTGGATGACAATGTGGATGGTTAAGGCCATTCTCGGAATTTATCGCCGGGTCGGACCATACGCCCAATTTAGGCTAGGGGATGGCGGGACAAGGAGGGAAAACATGTTGGTTTTTGAAGGAAGTCGAACTGACCCAAAACTAAGTACACTCCGGAATCCTCATCCAGGGCTTTAGTAATAACCCCATTCAATTGGGATGCTGGTAAATCTCCCCTAATCTCCCGGATTTTTGTCGCCGGGCCGGGGCATACGCCAGATTAAGGCTAGTGAAGTGCGTGACAAAAAGGGAATATATTTTGTTTTTTTGTGGACATTAAACTGACCCAAAACTAAGTACAATCCGGAGTTCCCCTCAACAAGGAATTTGGTAATAATAATAATAATAAATTGGGTTCTTGAATGGGTCTTGGTTGGTTAGTACGCTGCTTGGACCTTTCCTTGCTGGTATTGTAGTACTTCCTGTACGTCTGAATCCGTGTCTCTGTCCTAATCGGATTTCGAGCTTGCTGATTATCAATAACTTTGCACCCCACTGTGCGGTTGTTTAGTATTACGCCTGGAACGTATTAAGTATTTAAGGAGGCGGTCACTTCGGTTGGTTACCTAATTTATGGTCCCCTTAAATGTGTCTTATAGTCTACAGATGTTTATTTCTTTACGACGAGATTTTCTTTTGCCTAGTGTTTGTCTGAACTTGTGCAAACCGTTGTTTATGAGTTCTTCAGTTATGCTTGCTGTTTTTATGAGATTTGTTGGCGACTAATTATTCTGTAGTGATTTCAGATTGCCAATTTAGAAATTATTACGCATTTTTAAGATAATAATAAGTATTTGTCGCAGAAAAAGGTGTAGTATGCAACTCGTTTATAAACTTTAACATTTAATTAAGCCTTCGCTTACAAGCTCGCCCATGCCTAAATTAAATTTGTGACCAAAATGGCGTTTATCAAACTTGATACATAATATACTTTTATCTTCAAGCGTTCTATAATTTAAGCTTTAATATTGTCAACGCTTACTATCAAAGTATTCGATTATTTCCTAGGCTGTAAAAATAATTTAGACCAATCAAGTGAAATTTTTTACATCCTAGTCTGTAAAATATTGTATGCCATTCGGCTAAGACATATCTTTTTGTGCTTTCCTCAATTGTAATTTGAGCTCAGCACAAAAAAGCCATATGACGTAAATAACTATTTAGGAACAATTAATGCAATCAAATTTAACTGTAAGGGTTAAGTGTACATAAAATTGTATGTTTTACTCTTTTTTTGAACTCACCTAATATTCACTTCATTTTTAAATTTTCTTGCAGAAATGTGGTTTAAAGTGTAAGCAGGCCATAGCATACACAGTGTTGCCAACTTGGTGATTTTTCCTCTAGTTTTAGGGATTGTTTACTACTGCCGGGTTTTTTTAAAACACTAATTTTAAGATTTTGTTTTACTCGTGTATTTTTATAACTTTTTTAATGTATACAAAATATAAACTGTTTGTTCCATTACTTTAGTAAGTTGATTTAGTTTGGCAACCATGGCGAACACTAAGGAATTTATTTGGGAATTACAAAAACTTAAAAAGGACCAGCTAATCGAAATTATAGTCTACAAAACTGTACAAGAAAATCAACAGATCAGTGAAGAACTTCGTGGGTTTCTAGAAAGAAGAAAACAAGACCCAAAACCTACTGTTTCGGAACATAACCTAGCAGGTAACCTATAGGTTAACCTATAACCAACAAGAAGGAAATAAAAAGCAGAATAATAAGACCCAAAAAACATTCACACAGCAGAAAATAAAAACATAAAGAAGAAAAGTCAAAGAAGAGGTTTACAAACTAAAGAAGGTAGCAGTTTTAAAGGAATTGGTAAAAAAGCATTAATACATCTAAAAAGATAATAATAATAATAAGTATAATAATAATATTTATTAGTGCTATTACCAAAAGGTTTACAACGTCAGAAAAATACAAATATAAAAATAGTACAAGAAATGTAAATATAAATTAAACAAAGAATATAATAAATAAGGACACAATTAAAAGGTAAAGTTTAAAAACTCATCAATAGAATAAAATGAATGAATAGTAAAAAAGGATTTTAAAAACAGTTTGTATTCATTAAAAGCCATATTTTTTACATTATTTGGGAGTTTGTTAAAAAAATTAATTCCATAAAAATCAGGTCCACTCTGGCACCTCAAATACTACAGAAGCCTATTAAGGTATATTTGACAAAAACTTTTAAACGCAACGATTTTGTAATTAAACCCTGTCCAATCAGAGAAGGTGCAAAAACAATTTTATTAAAAAATGAAGCTCATATGTCACTTTTGGAAAACCTATACGCAGGAGAAAACTGGCCCAAAGGGGTAGTAGTAACGAAATATAGGCTTTTCCGTCAACAAAATGACAAGGCAGGGGAATTTAAGTAATAAAAAATCAAAATAAATTAACATTTTAAATCTCAATATTTAAGAAATTACAAATAAAACTGAAAGCTTACCTAATGATATAGCCTGCATTACGGAACATTGGCTTAGTAACAGAAATTGGACCCTTAATATTGATGGTTTTTATATACTTGCCTGTCTCGTGTATGCCTATAAAACATTAAAAACTATGAAGATCACATCTCGTATTAGTGCACTAACACGAGATTTAAAACAGCGTTAAGAATTTCGAAAATTAGAATAAGTAAAACGCAAAATTTATTTGATTACTTCGGAGTATCATTTTTTAACTTAACTTTTTATAGCTATTATAATAAGTTACACTAAAGAAATGAGAAAAAAAGAATATAAGATATAAGAACATTGACCAAAAAACTAAATTTTATTGCATTAAATATTCATAAATATAAATTATTTAGAGATACTAATTATTTATATATCACCAATGTACAAGAGTCTATTTATTTGCACGTATATTTATTTATTTTATCGCGAATACCAAAGCTGACTGACTGCTCCATGCTGCGCTGTTCCTTATATATTCATTGCCTACGTGACATCAGTCACGCAAGCGCCTTCCCGAATATTCCAGCGAGCTCCGGACCGCTCTTGATCGCTCGAGTGCTGACTCACCGGCGATGAGTCATCTTTCCGAGATCCAGAGGGGTACTCGCTTCAAAATCAATTTACAATAAATTACCCAAAAACCCAGTGAGGTATGTAGGCATACTTTCAGGAAAAATGAGTAATATCCGGTTTAAAATTGGTCACCCCGAATTACGCAAAACTTTTACAATTAAAGTGTATTTTTGTTAATTTTAGGTTAACTTCGTATACTTGGCAGCCGTTTTTGCCCACAACTTGGCCAAGACCCCAATACCAGCAAATGTGGATGTGTCCAGTCTATTTTTATTGTTGATAGCCGGCAGTCGGGTGTCCCCTGAAGTTATTTTAGCATTAAGAAAAATGCTGCACCCTTTAGCCACCATTATACAGGGATACGCGCAAACCGAGTTCTGCGGCACGAATACGTTCTACGACACAAACGATAAGGATCACAGAAAATTGTTCACTGAGAAGCCTCACTCAGTAGGATTGCCTGGAAAAGGATACATTTATAAAGTAAGGATTTCATTAATTTCATTTGTTTATTTTCACCATATTTACTTTTTGGAATAATATTAATATTTTAAAAATATTATTGTTTTTTTTTCGTTAAACAGACAAAGAAATACTTAAAATTAAAGAAAACAAAAGGGGGGAAATGCGTAAGTCGGAAATACATATTTTTTTTAACAGGTCCAATAGACCCAACCCGTCTATTGGTGTAATATTTTTTCACCCCTTTTAGTAAGGCCACCAATATTAAACCAATTTTTATAAAATTTTCAACACTTTGTACAGCCATGACTGTGATTTTACAATTATGCTCTGGCCCCAGGTAACTTTTCTAGTAGGTATGTCTAAAGTTATTTATAACAATTAACGAACAATTATCAAACAAACAATGTCACCAGGAGATACGCTAAACCCTCATTTATTTTTTCTTCTTGATTTGGAGTCGTCACTAAACATTTAGAATTTTGGCCAAAAAAATAACCAAAATAGGATTATTTATAATTTGTTACCTGAGGAGGATCATTTGCCCCTCTAGAGACTCTAAAAAATCTAAAATAATCAAATGCCATGTCACGTTTCTTTTTAATAAATCGCAAAAGAATTAATTTAAATCGGCTGCCTAAGCATTAAACCGAATAGGTATTTTTTTAAATTAAAGAAATATTTTAGGACTATACGTTAAAATGCATTCTTTTACCCTTCGATTGGTGTTTTTTGTTGGCCAATTTTATTTTCGTTTTGTAGCAAAAATGTAAAAAAGAAACCTGGCCCAGTGCACTGGCTAGCGACGCCCTTAGGCATAGGCTCTCATTAATAACATGGTACAACAGTAGAAGCTCCTATAGGGTCAATAGTACTATTTTTGTAGGACAAATTTGTCATACAATGAATTTTGAAAGTTTAGCTTAACTTTTTATTTTATTTTTTTATTATTTTAATGTGATTCCAACAGGCAACTGGCCTAATTACAGAAGTATTTACTGACAAACATAAATAAACAGCTATACCCATGTGGGTTCCTCTCGGCTTGTAGTCCGCAGTGCTGACTACTATAACACCGATTGGGTAACTTTTAGTTACAGCCGTTTGAAGTTTAAGTGACTTGTAGACTATTTGTCAATAAGTGATATTAATTTTAATGTATTTTAATGTACCACCGTGGTACCACAAACCTTGAAAGGGTTAAGAAAAGTCAGTTCTTATAATCTATGAAGTCTAGTGAAACTTCTCTTTATAACCAGAGCTGGGCACGAGTACTAAAAAAGTATTCGTAAAATTTTAAGTACGAGTGCTTAAAATATTTACTCGTAAGTACATTTGTAAAGAGGTTAAGGTTACGAGTAGTAATCGTGAAAACACGAGCATGGAGTACGAGTACTTTTGAAAAAAAAAATTGTTAATATAATTGAGTATTCTTTATACATTATACATACCTACTTTAGTCCTGAGCTATAAAAATACAAATTTATAATAGTATAATAAAGAACAAATGCCACAAGAGGTCATTTTGTCGCACGAGGACAATTTATAAAACGAGCGACGAAGGAGTGCGACAAAAGGTCTTATGACATGAGTTCTTTATGCTATTTTATCTATTTTGCAAAAATTCTATAAAAAATGTTATACCTTATATTTTATTTGGTCGAATTTTACTTTAGATACCTAGTTGGTAATAGGAAATACTCGTATATATTACTCATGAATTCCAGGAGTATTTTTTACGAGTACATTGAATTTGGTTTGTAAGTACGAGTAATAAGTATTTCAAATGAAAAATACTATATACTACTACTATATATATTGAAATACGAGTAAAAGTACTCAGTAAAAGTAGTCAGTACCTGGCCAGCTCTGTTTATAACTATGGCACGCCGTTTTAACATTTATTAAATAATTTTATAATTTAAAATTTTATTGGTTCAAAATTTTTCTACCTATAAATTTTAGGTTTTATAAATTTAAAATATTTTTAACCATCATGTATAGAAAGACCGAATTAAACAGTTCACTTTTGTATTAAACAAAATTATTTCCAATCAATTTTTGCAAAAATTTATGACTATTATTTTTTTAGTTTAATTTATTATGGCATAATTTTGTCAATCCTAAATAAATTTTTTATAAAATTATTTATATTAAATTGGTAAAGTTAAATTTTTTAGTATTTAAAAATAGTGTCGAGACATTTAAAATAAAAATACATATAAAACATTTAAAATGTTACATTTTCTACCAAAATAGTTTAAAAAGTGGATTTCAAATCAATTAATAATTAAAAAATATTGGTTTTTAGAAATTTTAGTTTTAATATTTTATTTTACAAAATTATTGGTTTAAATTTGTTAAGAGTCATTTAAATGGTAGTCGATAAATTTTTAATACAAAAATTCTTACATTACATTTAAATGTTAGTTTTAAATTTTAAAGTGGTAATTTTTGTAATAGTTTAAAAAGTTGATCTCAAATTAATTGATAATTAAAAAATATTGGTTTTTAAAAATTTTAGTTTTAATATGTATTTTATTCTACAAAATTATTGGTTTAAATTTATTAAGAATCATTTAAATGATAGTCGATAAATTTGTAATACAAAAATTCTTACATTACATTTAAATGTTAGTTTTAAATTTGGTAATTTTTTAATTAAAAATTTATGTAAACGCTGCTTTAGATGACTGCATATGCTGCAGACTTTGCGCTTTGTACGTTTCACCGACTTTGGAGTCCAAAGTTTGGACTATGCTTAAAATTGACCACTCTAGAAAGAGACAACATACGCCGTCTGCTAAAGCAGCGTTTACACTTTGTAAATTAAAAATCAATATTTTTATGCTTTGCAGTTGTATTTTATATTAAAAAAAAATTTAAGTATCAATTGTTTTGAGTTTAAAAAAATTTAACTTTCTGTTAAAGCATCATTTAAGTGCTAAACTTTAATCTTCAAACTCTTATCTAATAAATGCTAAAACGGCGTGCCATATATTACACTAAAGAACTTATTACTTTAATTTTAATAAATTCTTTAAATAATCATTAAATTATAATTTTAAATTATAGTTATTTATTAAAATTAGAGTTTAAAGTTTAAGTTAAATGAAAATCATTGACTTTTGAGTATTGGCATACAGACTACGTGCATGAGTCACTCAACTTTAAACGGCTATAACTTTTTGAATTGAGCTAAATTTTCAAAATCCATTGGTCTACAAAAATAATCCAGACCGCACCTAAGGCTACCAATAGGAATTGGACGCAGTTTATTTTTTTGTGGGCTTGCAATATATCACATTTATAATTTTAGGTGGTCGATTTAGAAACAAATGAAATTCTTGGACCGAACAAACAAGGCGAACTTCTAGTCAAAGCTCCGACAGTAATGAACGGCTACTACAAGGGAGATTCCAAGGACGCCTTCGACGAAGACGGTTTCTACAAAACCGGTGACATCGCCTACTACGACGAGGACCAGTGTTTCTACATCGTGGACAGAATCAAAGGAGTCATCCGGTATTTGTTCCACATGCTTTCTTCAGCTGAAATTGAAGAAATTTTAACGAATCATCCGGCGGTAAGGAAGGCCGCTGTTTTCGGCTACCCACATCCGGTCGACTTGCATCACGTGACGGCTTTGGTTGAGGTGGATGAAACGTCGGAAGTAACCCCAGAAGAAATCCGGGAGTACGTTGATAATCAAGTCCCCGACCACAAGAGGCTCAGAGGGGGTGTCAAGTTTGTAAAATCCATTCCTATGACGACGACTGGTAAAGTCAAATGTGGAGAACTCAAATCTTTTATGGAGAAAATGTAAAATCAAAATATAACTTTACCTAATATAATTTTTATTTAAGTTTTGTGTTGACCCGCCCTCCGTCAAACGAGAAAAAAACGCAACCAAGAATACATCTACACGTAAAGCATTCTACCTATTCGAAATGATACATTTAAATTAATGTTAAGTTTTTAAAATAATGCAGCGTTGCCCTTTTTTAAAAATACTTGAATTATATACCGTTTAATTACTTGGGTTGTGCGGTTTGGTATTTTATGAATATTTCAAATGGGGTCCTGTTTAACCCAGCGCGCTAAAGCCGGCCCTGTCGCGGTAGGTTGGGTGGGGATCAAAAACTGGCTGAGCGACAGAAGGAAAGCAACAGGTGAAGGAAGAGGGTCGTCCGAGTGAATCGGGGGTTTTTCGTGTTGTGAAATAAACCTTGTAGGTAAGCCAAAATGATCCTTTACCTTGTTTAAATTAACTAACTAAGGTGGTTGTATCCTTTAACCAAGTTTAATAATGTAGATTTGTTGTGTTTTGGGGATATTTAGCCGAGAACACGTTACGCGTCTCTTTGCTCCGTAAGATAGCGGACGGGCGTGAAAAATGCTTGTCTAATGTATTGTGCCTGCTCGCGATAGGGAAGAGGGTTATAGGAGGTATTATTATTATTAAATAATGTAATCTAATCTAATCTAATCTCTTCACAAGACTAGAGCTCGCCAATAGAGTTCCTTACCGACAAAGGGGTCATATATGACGTCAAAATGAAGGTGACGCCTGCGTCACTTCTAAATTTTTGATGGAACCGTGAAGATTTTTCGTTATTAAGTAACTTTTTAAATAGATACTTCATAGAAAATTTGTGACGTTTGCAGTGCACTTTATTCGTGACGTTCTCGTGTTTTTAGGAACGAGATCTCTCGAGAGAGGGCGTTCTATAACCTTCTTTATCTCTGTCAGATTCTCTGGTCAGCCATTTTCATTGTCGTTGTTTTGTAGAGACGCTGCCCCACACACGTGCTGCGTTTTTGTTGTTTTTATTGTTATCACCTGTTCTTATTCAATGGTTTATAGATAAGGTGAGTTTAATTTAAATTGTTTTAATTACATTGGCTTGCAATTTTGCTAAAATTCCTATTAGTTCAGTAATTGTATTCTTTTCGGTATATATTTGTTGCAATATATTGATGACGTTGTTTTCAATAATTTATATACCGTACCTTCATTTGCAAGCTATACATAGGGAAAATACATTGTAGGTGGAACAGACAAGTCGAAGTCGCGCCGGTCAGCGCGAAACGAAAATGTTCCCAGAAATTATTTTGATGAGTGGATGAGTGGATGAGTAGACATGCGACGTAACAGGTGACTTTGTTTACTGGTTTAGTTTTTGTGTCTGTGGTGATTATTCTATACATAGAATATTTTTGTATACCCACAAAAATGGGTCTTTGAACTTTAGTACATCTACGTATGTAATTAAATGTACATTTTTTATTAATAAATAATTAATAATTAATTAATAAATGTGTCTTATTTAGCAAAGGAAATTAATTTATGTAATTTGGTTATTATTATTTACTGTAAATGCATACTTATATTAGATTTAATCGGTTATTGACCATGGTGGGTCAATAATGAAAGCTAAATTTCTGTAAAAAAAACTTTAAAAAAAATTTAGCTTTCATTATTGAGCGACCATGGACAGGAAGTGATTAAATTTAATAAGTATGCATTGACAGTAAATAATAATCGTCACTAATTCGTCACAAAACTGCAAAGCAGATTCTACCACGGATTTAGTGTCAAATTCGTCACATTATTGTGATAAAAAACATAAAGAAATTGTCACGACTTGTAGGCACGCCTTCGTGAAGATTTCGGGGGTTAAAATTAGTGCGGTTTGGCCACTGTATCAGTCACAGAATCTATAAATTTTCGGGATCACGTTGAGCTCACGACAAGTAAAAATCGTAACAAATTTTGCAACGATTTCTTCACGAGGTGTTACTGTGAGATGTAATATAGAAACTATGCATTTATTATGTACACTGTAGCGGAATATGTTTAGATAGCTATAAAAGGTTTCAATACACTAGACAAAACGGTTTGCATCCAATAATATTCAATTTATAACCTGTTCTATTGTTGGGAGGGGTAAATTGTACTTGTAACATTTTATAAATCTGCTTTATTAACGCTTGGTATGACAAAGTCCAAATAACAAACGCTAAATAAAAACCAATATTCAACCAAACCTTTGTAAAAACTCCATTGTAAACAAACAATGAATAGAGAAAACATACAACCATACTTATTGTGTTTTATTACCTAATCTGGTCTCCTCTCATTGGCTTCTCCACCTATCTAGAAGCGAACTAAAATAACACAACGTAGGGTCTCCTTTTCTATTTTCTAGACGATCACTTCTTTTGGTCAAACTTGACAACACTGCTTGCGCTGTCAATATTTAAATTTAGTTCGCGCGATTCTTCAAATCGCCTTGGGTTACTGCCGTTTGCATGAGTATGGGGTACCCCCACCCCGTGCCCATCACAGTTTGGTATATGAAATCTAACACAAAATAATAGTTAGGTATACAAACATATCCTTTAAAATCAATTTTTTTTTATTTGAGTCCTCTAATAAAACGCCGAAAACTGCATTTTAAAATACAAAATATATCTACGAATTCATGTCAACATAATATTATATATAATACATAATAACCGTTTTTGGTCTTTTATCGTTGAGTGAAGACTTTCTCAATCAATGCTTTTAATAATTCATAATGCTATTTCCATTTAGACTTTTTTGTTTTAAAATTTTTACGTAAATCATTAACAAAATGTGTATTAATTGTATCTAATAGGTACAGTTGATATTAACAGGGACTGTGTGCAATTTATTTCTTCATTCGGATTCCCACTGTTTATCGGGAAACAGGTAAAACACAATTTTCTCTAGAAAAACATTAAACATCAGAACAAATCGTTCAACTGATTTTTTTCTCTTGATATTTTTAACATTTTCCGATCATATTCTCAAAAATCCTCGTTTGTAACGTACGCGTTTGACAGCTGCTTATTGAAAGCTGTAGTTTTGTTACGATGATGACGGGCACGTGGTGGCGCCACTAGCGATGAGTCTTTATTAATCTGTTAATATATGTTGGTAGGGTGACAAAATACATTTAATGCTTGAAAAAATATATAAATAAACAGTCTCCGTTATAAATGATTTGTATATGTGGAGTATGTGCAGAATAAACGACATCTCTGTGTTTATTATCTAACAACTTTTAGACCGATCCAGCCTTACTTTTTCCCAATTAAAATATTTTATTTGTTCTCCAGCTTCCTATAGGAATATCAATATATTGATATTCATCTCAACGGCTAGAGAATGCAGTTAAAGCATACAGCTTATGACTATAAACCGTAGCATGGAAAATACCATATTTTAAAAATTACGGGTTTACTTAAATTATGGTAAAGTAGACAGTTATCGGACACTTTATAATTATTGGACAATTAGCATTAATACAGTAAAAATAAGAGTTCTATAATTAGTTACCTTAAAGTCAAATCATTAGATGACGCTGTATACAATTATAAATATCTCAGTCGGTAATAATATAGAACTACTTTTAGGTCCAATATAGGACAAAAAGGTTCGCACGTTACTTTGGTGGTAAGATTTTTGTTTTTTTTTCAATAGCTGTGTTTAAATTACAATGTGGTATAAATGTGTTCCTCATGTTTAAACATTGTCACTTTAATGCGTTTTAATTTTAATTCTGAAAACAAACAGTAATTACTGGTTGGTAAAAAATGTAAATTTCTATTATCATACTCTATTTGTATCCCGGACATTTACCAGCCAATTCTTATGTAAAATTTTCCCCTGAATCCGAAAAGACCGTCAAAAACTATAAAAGTTGAGCAGTTTTTGAGATATAGTCAATTCCATATTATATGTAAAATTGATTATATTTCAAAAACTGTTCCATTTTTATAACTTTTGACGACATTTTCGGATTCAGCGAATAATATTTCATAGGAATTGACTGCTAAATGTCCTGGATACAAATTGCTGTTGACGAGAATTATTAGTGGCTGCTTTCTCGCTATGACATTTTTGACTAATTCATCATGATGGAGAACATAAAAAACTAATTGCCACAAAATTAATAAATTCGGAAAATACTTTTAACATACCACCCGAAAAAATATAAAATATACATAAATCATCCGGCGTAAACATTATAAATGCTTCACAAACTAGAGATACCACACTTAATGATATTTGTAACAAACTATTTCAGAAGTCAGACCAAGAAATTAGTAGTTACCTTCAGAATCCAGAAACGGGATGAGGAATCCGAGAAAGAAATATATGAATTATATGATATTTACAAAAACGAAATAAAAAAATTACCTAAAGCAGCAGGTTATCTTTAAATAAATAAATATTTAACAATTTATGTTATTTAATAAACTTGTTTGTTTATATAAAACTTGTATGTCCAATAACTATGGTCCATGTGTCCAATTACTATATAAAATGTCCAATTACTATACTTTTTTGCATGTTTTTATAAAACTATTATTAAAAATTCAAATATTCTTATTTTTAAGTAAACGTAAATAAAGTTTAAACAAACAAACCATTCTTTTTAAATATTTATAAGAAAAAATTAAAATCTTTAAAACAACGGCATATATAAATTTTAAATTAATAATATGCCTTAACCCTGATAGCACACTTTATTTTAAGAATGTTTTTAAATCTTCCAGTGAGAATATTCTTAGGATCATGCTATATTTCTTCTAAAGAACATGCTTAAAAGACATATAGCATAATCCTAAGAATATTCTTACTGGCCTATAGGCAGGTTTTTAGAAGGTGCAATGTTTTAGTGGTAAAAATTAGTCTACTCTAAACATATGCTTAGAATGTTAAGAAAGTAATTGCTATAGAAAGTTAATTTAGGAATATTCCTGTTAAGCATATTTAGTTCTTTAGTTACCTATATAATAGTAAAATATTCCATAAACTACGTATAAAGGTATATACCTATACTTAAGTACCTAATTAGTAATTAGTATTAAATACTAAGTAAAAATATTTTTTTATAGTTATTTGTCAAATTAAAACAATATTTGATAACAAAAATAATTTTACTATAGGTATTTTATTTTATGTTAAAAATAAATATTTATTAATTTGTATTTCTGAATTAACATTTTTATGTAAATAATCCTAACTATCTTCAACTTCAATCTAATCTGACTTATCCCACAAAATTTTACAATTTTACTTTTTATGAAATAATGTCATACAACTTATGGTTTAGAGATTGTTTATTTAATATTTTTAAATAAATATATATTAATATATCGCAAAATTTTTTAAGGGGACGACAAAAACATTTCACTGTCAAATTATGACAGTGAGGCGTATTTGTCGCCGTATATGTCGCCGTATCGCGTATTTGCCGTTGTTGTCGAATTTTACGAATGCATAAAACAACATATTAGAACGTGGGTATCTGACATATTTGGAAATATTCTCAAAAGCTTCCAAAAGCACATTCCAAAAGCGTATTCTTAAAATATTCTTAGGATGGTTTTTAGGAAGGTTTTAAGAAGCTTTTAAGAATCTAATTGCATCATTAAAAGGGTATCTATTGAATGTTTTAAAAGTCCCTAAGAACATTCTTAGCAATAAGGGAAGGTTCTAAGAACATTCCATTATTCCGGGTCATATCTTCTTAGAAGATTCTTAAAATCAAATTTTGTTATCAGGGTTGAATAAAAAAACAACTAAATTCTTAATAAAAATGTATTATCAATAATTATCACATGTGACAAACACAGGCAGTGTTGTCAAACCCAAAACAAATACTTAGTCGGTAAGTGAAAACTGTATGACACACTTGATCAACCATTTAGAGGAAACATGTCTAACATGCGAAACTTTGTACTGCAACAGAGGCGGATCATCGTCGTTAAAAACGACAAAAGAACTACAAGAGGCGAAATTCGAGGTCTTATTGGTGTGAAATGGATAATTTAAAATGCCTTTATTATCAATGCTGGGCATTCGAACCAACAATTTGCCTCCCCCCAATTCTATGATGTATTTCAGAAAGTGCTCGGTTATTTCCACGGAATTGACGATTGTCGATTTATTGTGCATCAAGAAAAAACTGCAGCCATCAAAAAGCTTCGGTCTGTTTAACATTTTGTTCATTATGCTTTTTTGGATGCCTCTGTTAAGGTCTGGATGGTTATCAAAGTATTCCTTGTTTAATATTTTGGATGATAAAGTTTCTGGATTCAGATTTGGAACATCTTAAACAAAAAAACAATTAATTTTAAATCTATTCACAATAGAACTTATTTTTAAAATAAAAACAATAGGAATTGAGTTTGAATCAATTTTATTTATTCATTATAAAGCCGTTTTCAACTAAGCGCATCTTTAGGTCAAATTTTGAACCAATCTTTTAAGCATTTGGTGCTCTATCTTACCAATAGCGCGCTGAATATTGGCATTTAAGTTCTGAATTGTTTTTGATTTATTAGCATACACCGAAGACTTTGCTTAATACTACAAGAAGTAATCGAGTGGCACTGGTCAATTTCGCGAAATATTGCTGTTGTTGAATCGAGTAGAACATCGTTTGGATCAATATTGTCCAAATTATCGAAGATATAATCATTGATCATTGTTCGGTAACGTTGTCTATTAAATTCTGCCTCATATATAAAAAAATGACTTTTTGAAGTATATGTGGTACGAAATGTATCCACTGCAAGACAAATAGCGAGATCAGTTGGTCCATTACTTGGACCTTACAATGACAAATCTTCGTTTGGCGAATTGAGACCGATTTTTTAAATGAGGTTTGAAAGATGTTAGCGTTTTTTTAGTGTAAATCTATTTATGGGTGATTCTACAAAAGTTGGACAACTTGATGCCATCAGTCAATAGAGTAGGTATATTAATATTTTTTGTAAATATTTTAGTATATTACAAAAGATCCAGGTTTTTTTAACTTGTCCACCCAATTTTAATGTATTTTTTTAAAAGCACGTTTTTAGAAAAACATAATAAATATTCAAAACATCAGTACCTTGGCGTGTCCTGAATCAAATATTTAAGTGATTTTATTTCAAAATATATTCAATTTATATTAAATTTTTCAATTTCACTACAAATTATAAAACATTAAATAATGTATTTTTCATATTTTATCATAGATACGAATAATAGCAATTTAAAAAAAAATATAATCTTTGTACCCGTCAGTTCTGTGTCCAATGATAAAATTCAAAATTCCTGCGAAATATTGAAGTTTAAACGTCAAGTCCTTGTTTTAACTCAAGTGTTGGTAAAAAATTACCTACAGAGCCCGCCCTTTGCACGACAGTAATCTTGAAAACAATGCAAGCGGCGAAGTTGTGGTGAATGCACGTATAGTTCCAGTCAAAATTTCAGTACTGTCGTGAGTAGTTATTTTCTTACGTATATATATTTCATTGTAATTTATATAAGGCTATATGTGATTTGCTGATAAGTAGCATCCACTAGTAAAAAATATCAGTAAAATACTTAATTCCGAATTATAATCTCAAATTTGTATGTAAGGAATTGACTGCGTATTTATAGTATATCAAGCAGTGCCATGAGAATTTGACGCACTTGTCAAATTTTGAGAAGCTGTCAAAATGAAAGAAGTTTCACTTCAAAAACGATAACAAGTTTACGAGTTTTTTTATCAAATCTCGTTATTAAACATAATCCGTCAATATAAACATTAAGATCGACCATGAAGTTTTAATTTGTTTATAATATCTAATTAAATTAATCCTAATCCTAATTTCAACAATTTTCTTGCAAAATTGTTGTAACTATGTTTATTTCATAGCATAAAAATACCAAAGTAGACAGTACACAACCATTTCAGAGATCGGCTGACAAATAAATTACCGGAACAGTGTTAATAAAAATTATAAAACAATAAATTTTGAAAAAATAGAAAAATAGTAAAATCCTTCTAGAAAATTACGAATTTTAAGCTAATCACCATTTTTTAAGGGTTAAAAAGTCGAAGAAGCAACGTTATTTTATAATTTTGAGTTTATCACGTCAAAGTACTGATAATTACTATTATTTGAAACTACATGCAAATTATGTTTCTACGAGAGGCACCTTTTTAAGTTAGGCCTTCAAAGAGCATAATACTAACGTGTTTTACAAATTTTATATATTCTTTTATCTAATATTATAAGATAATGTATTATATATTACATATAATAAATTATATATAACATAAAATTCTTACATATTTATTTAAAAAAATCGCCATAGATGGATCTAAAATTAGTTTTCAAGTTTACTAATTTTGATCATAGTAGGCATCATAGGCATCTCTATGGTAACCTACCATTGGAAGCATGAAAGATAATTTGACAGTTCAGTTTATAAGTTTCAAATGACTGATTGCGTTTCAATTTATAAGTGTACTATAAACTCAAAACATTAATTTATTAAAATGAATAAACTAAATAATAATTATAGACAGTATCAGCAAGTTAGAAATTATAACCTACTTTAATTTTATTTTTTCCCCACAACCAAGCTTTAATTTATTTTTTACTCGATAAGCAAGCTTCAATTTTAATTCCAAACTGAGGAAAGTAATATTTACCCAATAATTAAATTAGAATGAAGGCTTTATTTTTTATGTTGCAATCGGCTATTTTGCATTTTTTTTATATATAATATAATGCTATACAGAGTGTTTCAGGAGAAACGCAAACGATATGGATTTGAAATTTTAATAGCATATACAATTTGATTTAGACTATACCTAAAGTCAATAGTTTTTAAGGTATTAATTTTTTTCATTAAAATTTTGCTAAATGCACGTTAATCAAAAATAGCCTCTAATTTTTTTCTTATTATGTTTGCTGACTTGGGGTTGGAATTTTTGGATATTAAAACATTGTTTAAATAATTTAATTTTTTAAAGGTTTTTCAACAAACACCTTGAGAAAATCCACTTGACATTAGGCAAACTTTAAACAATAATAACGTTTTTATTATAAATGTAAAACCCTGTATGTTTAAACATAATCAAATAAAATCTTTCGATTGGTATTATAATAACTGTTTTCTAAAGTTAAAATTTCAGAGACATTTAACAATTTCTAATATTTTCAATACTATTTTGTATCAACAAACCTGTAAAATTCTACATGTGGTTTAATGTGACAGTATCCATGGTTATCACCAAATCTGTCATTGTTTAAAAGTAGTTAAAATATTTGATTGAAAAATTAATAACTAAAAAATGTAAAAATATAATGAGGTGTCCTGTTTAAAATAAAAAAGTTAAAGACATTTCCGGTAAAACAGGAAATATTATTTTGTTCAAAATAATTTAGGAAAAAAGTCTAAAATTTTAAATCTATACCTTTCGCGATTCCCTAGAAACTTCTAACGGACTTCGTACATGAAAAACACTGTATATTAAAAGTCATTTATGTTTTATGCTATACTTAATTATTAATAAAAGTTACAACAATATTTGTATAAAAATGACAAAATGTACTAAACTTAACATTTATGAATACTGCTACTGCTAATTCAAAACTGATCCTGGCCACAGAAACATCATTTGCATAAAAAAGTTAATATATCAAATAATAGTCAAATATCAATACTTTAACGTGTTATACTCAAAATTATAAAACAAAGTTGCTTCTTTGATTATTTACCCTTTAAAAATTGTTAAATTTTAAACTAAATTATCACCAGCGCCCCCTGTACTTTAAAATCTTGTCATGGATTAATTGTCATTAGTAAGATCTACATTTTCTCCATATTTCAAATCGATACGTATTGAAATAAAAAAGTTATTTATAAAAATTAAATTTCTTTATTTTTAACAGTGAAGAAAAAATAAAAATAAAAACAAAGTCGTCAATGGACAAGATTTTTTTAAGAGTACTGCATTTAGATGTAGAAATAAGGTAAAAAAGTTTCAATCGATTTCTTGAACCCTTGCAAATCGACCGTTCGATCCTCTCGCGAAACCGTAGTTAAGTTATTTATCCCATTTGGGTTAGGTTATTTACAGACTAGACTGTAAAAATCGTTATTTTCTACTTTTGACCATTAAAAAAATTTGACTACTCTGTACTTTAAATAATTGTACGTTTTATGTATCGTTTAACAAATAAAATTGTGCCTCTAAGTTAAAATACTTACTTCTTGACCTAATGACAACAATTAAAACATTTAATAACGTTTTTATTTTTTTTTATTTGTAATAAACTCGAAATTATTGTACGATAATCATTATCGTTTATCCTAAGGTTCAAATTATCGTACCTGTACGATAATTATCTGGCAACATTGCTAAGATTGCGCTTGCGTAACCACTGTCATTTTCTGCTGTTCTTGGGATGCGTTCCAATTTCTGACAGTAAAATAACTGACAGTACTAGCAGTAAATTTCGGAACATTATTCTTATGTGTTAAAGTTTTAATTGGTGACAATTTTTTTTTTAAATTGTTAAATTGTTTTTAATTTGACCAAGGGTAGCCTTGACTACTTTTAGTTAGGCAACCTATGCAATGCGCAATGTGTTTTTAATGGATTAATTTTCATAAAATATACCTCTTATTAGAAAATTAGTAGGTAAGGGTCTCCAAAAATTGCCAAAAACTACATGCCGGCTAGTATAATGACCAAACTTTGTTTCAAGACCATTTTCAAACAACGTGCAATCACAATAATGTTATATTTAACAAAATATGTTTTAGAAAAATAATATTTTACCTGTTTCTGTTAAAAAATGCACCCCATGAACAATCGCGGCCAAAATCTTGCTCGATAAGTTATGACTTTTTTTCACGACTATGTGGGAAACATCCATTTTATTCAGTGCAAATTTGTTTACAAAATTAAAACTCTTATTTCTCTTCAGTTGTTTCACATAAGAAGGATCTATGGAATGAGCATACAATGTAATTTTCGTAGGAAAAGCGACGACTTTTGTTACATCATTTATTTCATGGTCTTTCAATAAAAACTTGACCAAACCCATATCCTTCGTGTAATCACTGAAAGAAAATGTATTAATTAGTTTTCAAGTTTAATTAATTTTACTGGTGGATAGTTTATCAAAATATAAAGGTAATTTGATAAAATTAAATATAAATATTGTTGAATCTTTTTTCCTTGTTGAGATACAGTTTTTTTTAGGATTTTCATTAATATCTGCCAAATTATAAATATACATTGTATAAATTTCTTTCGGCGACAATAGTGAAACAACTTAAAATTGTCCATTTTAAGACGTTTTGCTTCCTTGAGTTTGTCTGTACAAATTTTGTAATCGATTTTAAACTAACTTCCCGATGAGCTAGAGACTCGAAACTTTAAACATAGCTTAAAACTGGATGACAATACAATATTGTAATTTGAGAGTTATATTTAAAAAAAATAATTTAAAATAATAATTAAAATTGATATCATTTGTCAACCTAAAATTATTATAAACAAAATATCAGGCAAAACTTTCAAGGTGTCAAGTTGACAGATATTTGTGTATGGTTTCAAGAAAGTAATTTTTCGGCAAAAAGTCTATTTTAATACCATTCATTTTGTATGGATATTTTAAAAATAAATACTACTACTCAACATTTGATTTTTTATTTCTGCGTACCTTTAACAAAACAAAAGTCTTGACAAGTTTTAGTATAGATGGTACTTACAAGAGAAAGTTTCTTCCATCCCTCACCTTTTATCCCACAAACCAAAAAAATTCTCTCTGAGAAAGCGGAATACTCAAAAAATACGAAATAAAAGAAAAAATTTTGGGAATGTCTGGTACTTTCTCTAAAAATATATTTCCACTTTTGTGGTGTAGAGTAGGTTTCATACTTATTACAAGAACTTTCTAACAATTTATAAATTCGATTAGTTTTGCATATCTCATTAAAAAACTTATCCATATTTATTTTTAGATTGTCATTATCAATAGTAAAAAAATATTTTCAAAATCAGAGTATAACGGAAAATCCATTTTTTAAATTCAACTTGGAAACTAAGTTGCCAGTTTTTTTCAGAAAAATCGAATCGTTTATTTAAATATTCTAAAGATTTATTTTTTTTAATTCAATTCATTTTCTAGATTTTTAACATCAAAGCCATAAAATTTGTTTTTAAGTATATCTTCCAATATATTTTTTTAAATTTTGCATCTCAGCATATAAATCTATTACAGTAGTCTCATTTGATTTAATTCCCTTAATTGCGGCCTCAAAACTATTTAAATCGTTGTGAAAAAAATATTTCTAATTTCTATTTCTATGCCTACTTCGCCCTCAGCCCTATTGATTTGAAGAAACTTTTTAATATGGACTGGACATTCATCTAAAGTTAAAAAATAGCTTTTAATTGCTGTAAAGTTTTCTAAAACCCTTTCAATACAGGGATTAAGTGAAAGCCAACGAGTTTCCTACATGTCTAATTAACTCTTTCCATTGACAATTAACAAACTCGTGAAAGGATTGTGGCACCTTACTGCGTTTGGCTGAATTTGAAAAAAAAAATTTAATTAGGTTTTCGACATCCAAGGATAAATATTCCATAGCACAGTTTTGAAGTATGAGCATGACAATTTCTTTTTAATATATTTTTGTTTGTTTCTTTTAATTTGGTAAACGAAGTATTGTTTTTGCAAAAATTTGAGTTTGTGTAATCAGCACTTAATGCTGAAACATACTTAAAATCTAATTCTAATGCTTGAAGACATTTTTCCACCATATCAAACATTCCATGTGCAGTCTCATTAGGATTTTCAAAAAACCTAGTAAATAATTTTGCAAACCATCTTGCAGGGTAAAAAACTGAACTGAAATTGGAAATACTTTAAGGTTTTTTCTATTTGAGGCATCTAGTTGAATTGAAAAAAAATCTTTGGATTGTGATTTTTCACTAAATGGAGAACTTTTTCTAAAGTCTTTGGACCTAAAACATTCATTACCATTAGTTCTTCCACAGGATAGTTTTAAAGCCATAGAAGAATCTGAAAATAATGTTTTATTCAACTTTAGACCACAATCCAAAGAAGGTAACGTTGGATCGTCGTGTCGCAGACAACTACAGCTGGGATCAGTGGCATGGCGTTCAAAGGACAATTTTTGGGGAAGAAGAACGGAAGGACATTAGCCTTTAAAGAAGGACTGTCCTTCCGGAGGAAGGACGGTTGACAACCCTAGTTGAACCTAAACCTAAAAATGATGTGACGTCCAAAATGGATTTATCTAGTGTTGCTTGATGAACAGCATTTATCTCCATTTGCTTGAAATAGAGATAAAAAACCATTTGTTTGCGACTCACCCCTGTAAAATCTTTATTTATTGTGCGATTTTAACCGGACTTATTTTAAAGTGTAGATATTGATGTTTTTTTTAAACAAAAACGCCATATTTTTACAAAACACAAAGTTTTTAAGAGTAATTTTTTAAGAATTCATATTATTCACCACCCATAAAAACGACCCTATACTAAATTTTATGGAAAAATTTCAAGTAGGAACGATTTTGTAGCCAAATTAAAAATGAGCAATAATAACTATTTACAAAAATTTATTCTGTCAAGTTATCCATAAAAAAATATTGAAATAAAATTTAATTTAAAACAACAATAATGTGGTTTTATGTTGTTTTTATTAAAACAAAAATTTAAAATGTATTAATTTGGATTTATCTGCTTTTGCTTGATTTGTTAGGCTTTGGGACCGGTATTCTATATCAAATACTCACTTTTTAACAAAACTGAATTTATCTGCCTTTGCCTGATTGCACCTTAAAAATTAATATTTTACCTATTACAAAATTAATTTTGAAAAAAAAAGTATATTTAATGGACAATAATACACGGTGTGCCTGAACAAAGTTTAAGTCACATAAAAATGCCGCCAAAAACTGATTGCAGTTTCTTGTTCGGGACCCTTTGGTGACTTAAAAATGATATTTACCAAAATCCTAGCTGCTCCTGTTTTCGAAATTTTCTGAAAATTCATGATTTTTTTTTTTATTTTTGTTTATCTTAAAGTCTACCTTTGACAGAGTTTCTTTTAATTTAGCAAAAGCGTAAAGATTAGTGATTTTGGCATAACACGCAAAAAAGATTATACCCACCCATGTTTTTTTAGATATTTTTATGTTTATCAGGCTAAAAAATGGGATTCTTATTAAGTTTTTATAAGAAAAATTGATTTTGAATAAAATTAAATAAAATAACATTTTTTGGAGATAAATCTTTTTTGTGCATTATGCTTTTTACTATATAAAAAAGTGATTTTTGGCTAACCCTGTATAAATTCAATGATGTGCTCAGTATAAAAACAGTATTCTCCAAGTCTCGTTAACAATATACTCCAATATTATAAAAATCGGTGTACAAATGTGTACTCTGTCAAAAGTAAGATAAACAAAAAAAAAGAATTTTCAAAAAATTTCGAAAATAGGAGCAGCTAGGTGTACAAATGTGTACTCTGTCAAAAGTAAGATAAATAAAAAAAAAGAATTTTCAAAAAATTTCGAAAATAGGAGCAACTAGGATTTTGGTAAATATTATTTTAAAGTTACCAAAGGGTCCTGAACAAAAAACTGCAATCAATAAAAATCGGTGTACAAATGTGTACTCTGGCAAAGGTAGACTTTGCGATAAAAAAATAATTAATAAAAAAATTATTTTTTAAGAAATTAAAAAAAAGCAGTTACAATTTTGGTAAATATCGTTTTTAAATCTCCAAAGAGTGCCGATCAAAAAACTTTAACCAGTTTTTCGTTGAAAATTGAAAACTACTAAAAAGCCTAAATTAAACAACATTATAAATATTCTCTAAGCGATATTTTATTTAATATTATTTTTTTTTTATAAAAGGTTAATAAGAATGCCATTTTGTAACCTGATGAACGTAGAAATATCTAAAAAAAATATGGGGATAAATCTTTTTTGCGTGTTATGCCAAAATCATAAATTTACGCTTTTGCTTTATTAAAAATAAGCGATTTTTGGCTCACCATGTATATATTAAATGATATGAACAGTATTAAAAAGTATTCTTTAAGTCTCCTCAATAATATACTCTAATTTTTATAAAAATGTGTACTGAAATAAAGAAAAATTAAAAAAAAATCATGAATTTTCAAAAAATTTCATTTTTAAGTCACCAAAGGGTCAACAAGAAACTGCAATTAGTTTTTGGCGGCATTTTTATGTGACTTAAACTTCGTTCAGGCACACCGTGAATATATGATATTTTTACTCAATCATTTTAACCGTATTTTCAAGAAAATTTTTATAAATGTGAAGGAATTTGCTAATATTTTTGCTAAAATATTGGAGTTTGCTGTGTTTTATACTTTTATGTGGTTCTTTTTTAGTTTAAGGACAATTTATTTATACTATTTAATTAAACCTTATAAAAGGATAAAAAAATGTATGAATAATGTCATATCTTCAAATTTGTTTTACACAAAAATATGGCAGGCCGTTTTAGCATTTATTAGATAAGAGTTTGAAGATTAAAGTTTTGCACTTTAGGTAATGATGTTTTAACAGAAATTTACAAAGTTAATTTTTTTAAACTCAAAACAATTGATAGTCAAAAATATTTTAAATATAAAATACAACTGTAAAACTTTAAGCTTAAAAATATTAATTTTAAAAAAATTTAGTACAAATATTTTATCCTACAAATTTATCAGTTTACAAATTTTGTAAAGATCTCGAGTCATTTAAATGATAGTTGATATATTTTTAATACAAAAATTCTCACATTACATTTAAATGTAAGTTTTAAATTTTAAAGTGGTAATTTGTGTACCTATTTAAAATTTATTGACTCATCATCATTTAAATCACTCTTTACAAATTTAAACCAAAACTTTTTATTTTTAATAATTTTAAATTGATAAATTTTTAACAAAAAATTATAACTTTACATTTAAATTAAATAATTTTTAATTTACAAAGTGTAAACGTAGCTTTAGCAGGCATACGCTGTCTCTTTCTAGAGTGGTCAATTTTAAGCATAGTCCATAGTTGGTGAAACGTACAAAGCGCGAATTCTATAGCATATGGCTTATTTTCAAATTTCTTGTACACTTGCTGTCTCTTTAACTTTATTATTTTATAAAAAATTGAGTTTAACGCCATTTGAAACTTTAATAAGCAAAATCAATTGGTTTAAGTGTTTTAGCAACTATATATTAGCAAAATTGTAAAATTTTAAATTTAACTCTATACAAAAAATACAGTACAGAAAAGTAGCTGTCCCACTTGCAATAATATTTACTAATGCTATTTAAATATCTAGGTCACGTCTCCTGGGTCACAGCTTTTATAAATGAGCTTTTGAATTAAGCGCACATTTTTTGGTGCTGCCCCCTTGCGGCAATGTATTTGGTAACGGATTTAATTAGGAAATTTTGTTTTGAACTATCTTGAAGCCACAACACGTTTTTTTGTATTTTTTATACTAGCGTGGCAAAACTGTGCATTCTCCTGTGTCACAGTAATAAAAAGTAGTAAAGATACCAGTTCGTTTGTTTGATTCTCAAAAAATGTATCCTAGTAATGGTTTTAAGGGCAAAAATACAAATTTTTATCTTAAAAACATTAAAGAGGTTATGTTCTAAAAACATACATTTTTTCCCCTGGGTCACAAATCTCCTCGATCACATATTGTGTGACCCAGGGAAAAGTTATGTGACCCAAGGGACAATTCCAAAGAAATAAATTATAATATATTTTTGAAATAATAATAAACTTATAGGAAAGTTTTAAAAACATTTTTTTTTTCGACCTTTCACCTTTTCTGTTTCTGACAGTACGTAGCCAATTTAAAATACTCCACCTTTTTAATAGTAATTTTCCTAGTCAATGTATTTTGCCTCAAAGAAGCTGGAAAAATTGCTTATATTGATTTTTATTATTATTACTTATAACTAAACTTTTTATTAATTTATTGCTCGTTAAATTGGACAAGCTGGGCCCAGATAAAAAATTGAGAAAAATCATTTTTAATTAAGGAGCATCCGTGCAAAACCGGCTAAATCCATTTTATTCAGTTTTTGGTTTTTTTTCTGATTTCGCATCTTTGGGTTCATTTCTATCGACAACCAAGATAATTCTGTTTAAATCCGGAGCAAAACCGGCCAAATCCACGTTTTTATAGCAAACCCGGCTATATCCAATAAATAATAATGATGATGAGCATGTGGCTTGGATATGTCGATACTACTACTAAAATTTGTTCTGTTTTTTCATGTTTGCACTAAATTTATTTTGTTAATATTTTTGAATAATAAAGGTTTTTTTTCACATTTTATTCGGTTTTTGAGCAAAACCAGCTATATACAAAACATTTTTTGAAATTTTGGCCTTAATATAAAGTTTTAGAAAACGAAAGTATGTCTTATAAATCAAGTACCAAAAAGCCCACAAAACTCAAGTTTGCTTTTTCTTTTATCTGTAAAAGCAAGGAAACCGAGAGTTTTTGCCATTTTCCCAACATTTTATTAAAGTGGATATAGCCGGTTTTGCACGGATGCTCCTCAATTATAAATTAAAAAAAAATTCTTACTCACTTTTTTGAATGGACATTTTATAAATACAGAAAATATATTAAAAATACTTATGTATGTAAGAAAGTTGAGAAATAGAACATAGTTTTTGCTTTTACTTAGTTTTGTACTTACATTTTTTTTATAAATAATAAATTTGTTTTTTTTTAACAAATCATATTGTAAATAAAACCTTAAAACGATTATTAACAAGCAAAAAAATATATTTTCAAAATGATATATATATATATATGTTTTTTTAATATGTTAGTAAATTTGTGACCAAGGGGACCATTTTTTTCTTTTTTATTTTATAAGGGCTTATTTAAAAAAATCGAACTTCCCACTTTTATTTATTTTTAAATAAACCAAATTTGGTAAAAAACAGGTTTGTAGATTATGTTTTTGTTTTTACTTTTTCTTCTTTAAATGGACAAGAATTTTGAAAATGACCCATATGCATGCATATGGGTCATATGCAGTCAGCTAAAGCCGCGTTTACACTTTGTGAATTAAAAATTATCGACTTACATGTAATGTAATGTGAATATGTTTCTGTTAAAAATGTAATAATTTAAATTTGTTGAAAATAAGTTTTTGGTTAAAATTCCTTAGCTTCTAATTAGTATAAGTATGGTAGATTTAGCATTTTGATTTAGTTATACTTCGCTTCTGAAGATGCCAACATCGTTGGCGAAAATTACTTTAAGCACTTTGTGTTTTGTTTTGGTGTTATGTCTAATATTTGTTTAACATATCACCAAAGTTGTCCTTTTTCAAGTACTATTCACATATATTTTGTTAAGTTTAGTTTTTCTGGAGCAAAATATGCATACATTTGTGTCAAAATTAAAATTTAAAGGAATTTTAAGGTTTGCTTATGGGTACCGAAATTGTTTTACTATTAGAATGAAAGGTGTGACGTCATGCGTATATTCAGGAAATTCTCATATTTCCGGAGCGTCAATTTATTGCTCGTTAAATTGGACAAGCTGGGCCCAGATAAAAAATTGAGAAAAATCATTTTTAATTAAGGAGCATCCGTGCAAAACCGGCTAAATCCATTTTATTCAGTTTTTGGTTTTTTTTTCTGATTTCGCATCTTTGGGTTCATTTCTATCGACAACCAAGATAATTCTGTTTAAATCCGGAGCAAAACCGGCCAAATCCACGTTTTTATAGCAAACCCGGCTATATCCAATAAATAATAATGATGATGAGCATGTGGCTTGGATATGTCGATACTACTACTAAAATTTGTTCTGTTTTTTCATGTTTGCACTAAATTTATTTTGTTAATATTTTTGAATAATAAAGGTTTTTTTTCACATTTTATTCGGTTTTTGAGCAAAACCAGCTATATACAAAACATTTTTTGAAATTTTGGCCTTAATATAAAGTTTTAGAAAACGAAAGTATGTCTTATAAATCAAGTACCAAAAAGCCCACAAAACTCAAGTTTGCTTTTTCTTTTATCTGTAAAAGCAAGGAAACCGAGAGTTTTTGCCATTTTCCCAACATTTTATTAAAGTGGATATAGCCGGTTTTGCACGGATGCTCCTCAATTATAAATTAAAAAAAAATTCTTACTCACTTTTTTGAATGGACATTTTATAAATACAGAAAATATATTAAAAATACTTATGTATGTAAGAAAGTTGAGAAATAGAACATAGTTTTTGCTTTTACTTAGTTTTGTACTTACATTTTTTTTATAAATAATAAATTTGTTTTTTTTTAACAAATCATATTGTAAATAAAACCTTAAAACGATTATTAACAAGCAAAAAAATATATTTTCAAAATGATATATATATATATATGTTTTTTTAATATGTTAGTAAATTTGTGACCAAGGGGACCATTTTTTTCTTTTTTATTTTATAAGGGCTTATTTAAAAAAATCGAACTTCCCACTTTTATTTATTTTTAAATAAACCAAATTTGGTAAAAAACAGGTTTGTAGATTATGTTTTTGTTTTTACTTTTTCTTCTTTAAATGGACAAGAATTTTGAAAATGACCCATATGCATGCATATGGGTCATATGCAGTCAGCTAAAGCCGCGTTTACACTTTGTGAATTAAAAATTATCGACTTACATGTAATGTAATGTGAATATGTTTCTGTTAAAAATGTAATAATTTAAATTTGTTGAAAATAAGTTTTTGGTTAAAATTCCTTAGCTTCTAATTAGTATAAGTATGGTAGATTTAGCATTTTGATTTAGTTATACTTCGCTTCTGAAGATGCCAACATCGTTGGCGAAAATTACTTTAAGCACTTTGTGTTTTGTTTTGGTGTTATGTCTAATATTTGTTTAACATATCACCAAAGTTGTCCTTTTTCAAGTACTATTCACATATATTTTGTTAAGTTTAGTTTTTCTGGAGCAAAATATGCATACATTTGTGTCAAAATTAAAATTTAAAGGAATTTTAAGGTTTGCTTATGGGTACCGAAATTGTTTTACTATTAGAATGAAAGGTGTGACGTCATGCGTATATTCAGGAAATCCCCATATTTCCGGAGCGTCAACTTTTAATTCAAAAAATATATATTTCAAATTCTAATAACTAATTTACTGGGTTTTATTGACTAAAATATTGTCCGAACTTTGATTAAAGAGCATTTTTTTACAAACTTGCAACCCCCACACAATTCAAATTTAGTAACATTTTTAATAATAAAGGACAAAACATATTGCAATTGCAACAGCGTAATTGCAATTTTTTGTCCTTTATTTACTTTCCACAATATTGATGTGCATTTTTTACCATGGTTTGTATCCATTAAAGTCGATGGCGTCCACTGAGGCGCCATAGTTTAATAGTAATTTGACTATTTCCAGGTTACCATTTTCAACTGCTTTATGTAAAGGCATCACATAGTCCGGTCCTGGAGTGTCGACAAGGGCCCCATTTTCGAGTAGCAAACGACAACATTCGACGCTGTTAGCTATAACTGCTTCATGCTAAAACAAAAGTAGACAAGGTAAACTGAGTTCATAAAGAGAAAATGTACAGTAGGGTGTCCAACTTGGTTTTTTTGTTCGCAGTGCCCCCTAAATTTTTAGTTTATCACCTATAAAAAATTATAAAAAAATATATTCATATTAAACCGTGCCACAAAGACGATACATTCTCCATTTAAATAACATGTTAAGTTAATATACAGCAAAAAGTGATATAGGAAATTGAACGCTGTACAAAAAAGCTCTCTTTTTTCGATAAATTCACTGGTTTAAAAGTTATTTAAGGTTAAAATTAAAAATAATTTTTTCGATTATTTTACTTTGACTGCAATATTATCATTATTTTTATGAAAATAAATTATTAATTGAAAATATGTGATTTTATTATATTAGTGAAAAAGAGCTCGTCAATGTAGAAGTACTATGCTCCACATCTCAAAGTCCCACCACGTGACCACCTACGGAACGCAGTCTTTTGAAAATTTGGCATTTGAGGCTTTTCAGGTTATGTATCTGTCAAAGTATAGTCAATGAAAGAAATAATATTTATAGTGTTAATATTTATACTGCCCTACTATGGAGAAAGGCAGTAACTGCTAAACAAGAAATTTGTGGAAAATTAGCAAAAACTACATTTTTATAAAAAGCAGTAGGTATTTACTTGATTTTTTGAACTTATGAGATATTTGACTGCATTTCTGTGTTAAATTCGGTTACAAAATGTCCATAGCTTTATCATAGCACAAGAAAACGCATTTTGCATTTTTTTGCAGTTACTGCCTTTCTCCTTAGTAGGGCCAGGGCCGGCCCGACTTTTTTTGCCGCCCCGGGCGAAGATATTTTTGCCGCCCCCTTTTTATTCAGCAGGAATAGGAAAAAAAGTAGTTTATCGTAATTATTTTTTCAAACTTTTTATAAAAGTTTTTTATGCTTTAGAATTACTAGGTAAGGCAATATACTGTTAAATATGTATATATACATAATTGCATCACTTGTCAATGATTATATCCCATATATAGGATATATGTAATAAAAATATATTATTAAATAGTGTCACTATTATAGTGAGTATAATTAAATAATATTTTTATATTACAAGATTTCTTTGGTTTGTCAGTGCATTCGATACCGGCGAAGCGAGAGGATGTGTAGTTCGAGCGCTCAGTGCCGATCCACAATAAAATTCTTAAAGAAACATAACTATTATATACAGTGTAGTCGAGTAAAGTACGGTTACTAATAGTAACTTACTATAACTTACTATAGTATGTATACATACCTGTACAGGTGAAATAAGGGTACCTGTTCTCCGAGGGGTTAATAGAAACCTTAAATAATTCCTCAAAAGGCAATCTCTCAACGGTGAACATAGGAGTGAGGTTCGTGCGGACACGAAGTAATAAAGTGACAGGGGACAGGTCAAGGAATCACCTATTTAAAGAAAAAAACGTCTAACAAAGAGCGAAAGGGATCCTCACCATCACCAGCAGACTCTGATAAGTATTATTGCATGACCTAATACGCAAATCTGTAAAAAAAAACCTGGCAACAATTAACCATTGCCGAAAACAGCGTACGTGTGTGAAAAGGTATCAAGCAGGAACGTCGCAATATTATATTATATTGTATATATTGTATAATATACGCAACTTGCAGCTCAGCCACAAGGCAAAGCTTGAAGGAAGGCGAGGGTAAATAAACAAAGCGCCCACGCAAATAACGTAAATAAACCATCTATTGAAGCATACGTTACACGCTTGACACTGGGACCGTATTTCAGATTTTAATGCGATGCACCACAGGGCCGGCTTATTTTGTATTAATTTAGTTTTAAATTAAATTTGGAAAAAAAAGTAAGAACGCAAAGACACAAATTAAATAATAATAATAAACGGTATAAACAGTAATTTAACAACAAAATAAATAGTTCACCAACAAGGACAGGTTCTAGCAGCGTACTAACACCCCGGCTCAAAAATACAAGAACAGCACAGAAGAAAGAAGAACGACAAATAGCCAATGCAGACTATATGGTGGCATTCCACCACATTCACTACAGGGCCGGCTTTATCGATTTTGTATATTAATATTTATATTTTTAAATTAAATTTGGAAAAAAAAGTAAGAATGCAAAGATATAAATTAAATGAAAACGGTATAAACACTAATTTAGCAATAAAATAAATATAGCGTATACAAGGTTGGTAGCCGGAGTAAGCAAAGAACTAACATACCCACCCCCATTCACGAATACCAATTGAATGGGGTTACTACTAAGGCCTAGGTTGAGGAGGATTCCGGATTGTACTTAGTTTTGGGTCAGTTCAATGTCCTCCAAAAACCCTTCCTAAACTGGACGTATGGCCCGACCCGGCTGACAAAAATCCCGGGAGCGGCCTTAACCTTTGACACTGTCATCCACGACCTCCTAGGGTGGAACTACCAGCCGGCGTAAAACTTCGGATCCAACAAACACAGGTAATGCTGTGATTTGGCGGGATACGCAGGAGAACGGAAAGGGGGTAAATAGCCCCGGGAGATTAGAGGATGACAATATATCTGGGGCCTGCCATACGTTCCCATACTCATACTCATACTCATACAAGAATTCTTTGGTTTGTTAAAATTTACTTTCGCAATATTCCGCGAGCTATAGATTATTACATACATAGGTAATTCCTGTTAAAATATCGTATTTTTAATGTAAAAGTATACAGACCGAGTGCACCCGAACATTTTAAGTAACTTACTTACTTAGGGTGAATCATCTTTAAAAAAAAGTAAATTAACTTAATAATTACGTAATGAGTTTAGCGGACTTTGGCAAAACCGAATCCTGCTGTGATGCACGTCAGAAGATTGATTTTAGACCTCTAAAAACAATGTTTAGATGTACACAACAAAAATTAAACCTCATTTTCATATATGCAATATTGTTTAATTATAGTATAATTATTATACCTGCCTACGATGGTTCTTTTTGCAAGAATTTGGAAAAGGTTGCTGCTAGTACTCGATTATCCGCCGCACGCGCCCTTCTTTTGTTTTTATAAAAAGTTCCTGAATCTTTTTTGCGTCTTCCAGACATTTTATACTTCTAATTATCAAATTACCTTAGCTATGCACTGATTTTAAAATCAGTGCAAATGCACGTGATATAATATTTGTCCATTATTAATTGTTAATTGTCAAATAAAATTATAGAAAACTACAGGATGTGATTGAAGAAACGAATGAAAGAGGGCGCCAGGGTCGTCTTCCGAGAGCGCCTCTATTAAATCTTTGTGACAAAGATATTAAATTATCTAAACTGCATTTCTCGAGCGTAATTCTAGAAAAAATCGCCAATCGAAAAATGTTTAATATGTTGAATAAAATTGATTATCATTAACAAATCGTAAAAATGCCGCCCCCCTCATTATGCCGCTCTGGGCGGTTGCCCGGTTCGCCCGTACCTCGGGCCGGCCCTGAGTAGGGCAGTATAGTGTTTATGTTTAAGTTAATAAATCTTTATAGTATCACAATCACAATGGTTGGTTTAAGAATTTAGGAATATAAATACTGCATTTAATGAAATTCCAAAGTGTAAGGTGCAATATAAGTGATATTTTTGTGCATTGGGTCTTCATTTCTCCATAAAATAGTTTTAACTAAACAGCATTTATTAAAAAAATCTAACTTCTCTATTATGAAATAAGAATATCTGTATCAAAGGTAGGTTAATGTATTAGAACAAAAAATATCATCTAATTTTGTATTTTAAGGTTAGAAAAATCTATTTTGACCAAAATAAATAAGTGGATTATTTGAAAGAGTGTTTTAATATGGTCATAAATAAATATAGGTATACTAAATAATTATAATAATAATAATAATAATAATAATAATAGTTTATTAATCCAACAGACAAAGTCTAAATAAAGGATATATATTTTTTACAATATGCAGTATAACACAACATTAAATAAACAATATAAAATAATGAAAAAAAGATAAAAGTAAAATTATAATTTGTTACGCTATTGCTCTAATTCTATTAACAAACTGATTTAATGATAAAACGCACATGTCACAATTATCTTCAATTTGATTATATAATCGACACATTGATCTTAGCGGGGCATGCATGCCCTGATTAGTATTAGATGCTTGAACATAAAAAGTCTGTCGAAATCTAGAATTAACTCTTGGTACAAAAAAGTTGACTTTTTGTAACTGTTTGGAATCAAATATGACTCCATTAATTAGTTTATACAAGTAAATCAGCTGAGCATTTCTTCTTCTTATTTCCAGACTTTCCATGTCAAAGCAAATTAACGCACTTACATAGTCAAAATTGTATAAGGGATAATATCCATAAATTAGATAACATAAATATCTGCAAAATTTTCTTTGTAGTCTTTCAATGCTATCAATATACAGTGCTTGCAAATCCAAGTCCGACCGGTTTGAGAAGGACGCTTGAAAATAACAAGGATAGAACGCCAAACAGAAGGCGCTTACAATACGCACGCCTGACGCTCTGACCAATCAAATTCTGTTTGGCATTCTATCCTTATTCTTTTCACGCGGGTATTTAACAACCATTCTTTCCAACGCGGTCGGACTTGGATTTGCAAGCACTGTATACATTGTAATATGGTGACCATATAATGCAGGCATATTCAAGTTTGCTTCGTACATAAGCGTTGAAGAGACATTTTAATGAATCTATATTTTTAAAATCCTTAGTGTTTCTAATTATAAAACCCAAGGATTTATTTGCCGCTGATATTGTGGAATTAATGTGAGTAGCAAACGACAAGGTGGAATCAAAAATAACTCCTAAATCCTTAATAGTAAGTACCTTTTTTATTGGAACACTGTTTATTGTATAACTGAAATCAATGTTGTTAACTTTTCTCGTAAATGTCATTACATTACATTTCTGTATATTTAAATATAAATGATTTCTGTTACACCAATCAGACAATGTGTCCAAATCTTTCTGCAGGCTTTGG